CAGAGCCAAGATCCGGTGCAAGGAGTAGCGCACGGAGCGGCCCGAACCAAGCTCAGCAAGCTGCATCGTTTCAGCTGAGTTTCGAGTTGGAATTCCATGTTTCCACGAAAGGACACGGGAAAACTGAGTGGCCTCACCCCATTCTTTCTGGGTACGATACGTGGTCCCCCCAGGTCTTGGCCAAAGCACTAGTAGACTCATGCGCGTTGCTGTCAGTGAATCAGCTACGTTCCCAAACTGTCCGCGCACCAACGGTTGCCATGCAAGCACCCAAAGCCTCGTTGGCATGCTGCCCGACAAAGGAGCCATCACTGTGAGCTTTCCTCAGGGCAAGAGTGTTACTCCTTGGAGGGTAGGGTGTTTTTTCTGACCCCCTAAACATAAAGGTCACCTCAAATGAAGAAGGATCCTTTGAGTAGTTGGGTTGCACCCCTTTTTGTGAGAAATCCCACCTGCGCTTGGGAAGAAACCGCAAGCTAGCTAAAAGCAACGCTTATCACTGCTCCCGATCGGAATCTGACCCTCGACATGCCTCCAACGAGTTGCTGGTGTGGAAGGCTTGAGGATGCGGCTTAAGTTCAGAAACACAACCCCAAAGTCCTTCAACTGCGCCAGGACATATCAATATCTTCCCCCATGGAATCTGATGAGCCGATGAGCCGTCAAATAAACCATGTCATGTAGCATTCATATAACTTGCCAGGATCTTGCTCCAAGTTCGCCAATTCCAAGGCTGAGGCTTTTTGAAGAAGCCACTTGAAGATGGACTCCTGACGATGCGAGCCGTCAGCTAGGCGCATGGGGCATGCTGTGATCGGTAGACAAGTCTTTCTCTAGAACACGGTGGGCATGAAGCCGGTTAGCTAGCTACCTGCCACGCGCTGTGCTGCACTGCAGTCACCTGAATACTATCTGCCACACGGCTGCCACGTGTTGCGATGCACCAGCATACGATCTGCCATACGGCTCTCAAGGTTTCTGTTGCATTTGGGCCAGAACTTTGTGTTTTTGTTGCTCTCTCTCTCTCTCTCTCTGGCTCTCGCTGTCTCTCCCTCTCTCGCTCTCTCGCTTTGAAAGTGACACCTTCAAAATCATCCTCCAAGTTGTGGATTGAAAGGAGACCAACCCATCCTTTAGAGGACAGATCCCCTTGAGCCCGCGGCATGGTAGCCGCGGGAGTGCCTGCTAGGAAAAGATCTCGGCTCGACCTGCGGATTCAACTCAAAAGCCATGGGTGCGTCCTTCATTCAGAAGCGCCCAAAACCCATTGACCTTCTGGCTCTATATGAAAACTGGCCTACTACATTGACAATACGGGGTTTGGGTGCCTCTTCAAAAAAAGAAAAAACTAAGAAATGCCAATGCGAGGTGAGAACGACAACTTGCGTATGGGTGATGCCAAGTGGAGAAGACATGCCCTTTGCTGCAAAGTCACGGGGCTAAGCTGAAGCGTTCCGGCCAATTCCAGTCAAGAAGTAGCTCCAACAAAAACGCGCTTGTTTTGTCAGAAGCATCTCCCGCCTGATGGTCTCGTCTAGTCTGTGACTTCCCTCCTTTTGCCGGCTTTTGACCTGCGCATCGCCACATCAATGCCTTGCACAAATTGAACCTAGAGCCAACCCCTATCAACTGCCTCTTTTGACTTGACTCACATTGAAACGGGCATCCATGATTCATGAAGCCAAGTAGATAGTCGTGCCTTCCCACCTTCCCTATCACACCCGGGCCCTTGGCAGGCCATGAAAAGGGCCCAGCGCGCTGCTGTCGTCCTTCGGTCGTTCGGGGCCCCGGCGGCAACCATCTTTCTTCTAATGTGGTGCTCGCCCAGATCCAAGGCATCCTCGCCCTGCAAAAGGCAACTGAGGGCCAGGACTCAGGAAAAATGGGGTGTGGGCCAAGGGTTGGAACACCTGATCCTATTGCGCTTCAGACCAGGCACCTCAACTTATAGGCTTTGTGGGCAGTTTGCTACTTCTACACCCTCCTCTTAGGCAAAAAGTGCCTTGCTACAATATGGCTGGACCATGAGCCCATCAGGGCTCGAGAATGTGAAATAGCGGCTCTGGACAAAATGAACACTTACCCATTGGTCCCCTTTTGCTTTCCTTTTGCATAAGAATTGTGCTACTTTGGACTTGCACATTCCAACAAGCTTAAATGCCCATGAGCTACACCCAAACGCGAAAGTCCTTGCATTTTCGTGTTTTTCTTGAAAGTCCGCAGCCTGCCAGTAAAAACAACGCAACGAGTAGTCCCGGCAGGGTCCTTGCAACTGAGCCTTCCCCACTGGCACACGGCGCCCAAGTGTCTCCTAAAACTGCTTTGTTTGAGTACCACTACGGACGCAATCCCCATGGCACATCGCATGTTACAAGGCACTTAAACGCATTTTAAGCATACATGTTTAAGTACGAGTAAGAAGGCAATCCCCATGGCACATCGCATACCAGTTGGGACCAAGATGTTGCTTGACTATGTGTGTTTGCACGCCAAAAAGAAGGCAATCCCCATGGCACATCGCATGCTCAACAACATCGAAACAAGTCTTGCAAAAACAAGTTCGTGTGCTAGTACGAACAATCCCCATGGCACATGCATACCCAAAGGCAACCAAACACATCTCGAAAACATCTTTTCGAAACACAAAAATGAAGGCAACCCCCATGGCACATTGCATAATCAACCGCAATGTGTCTCCTAAAACTGTTTTGTCTGAGCGCCGCTACGGACGTGATCCCCATGGCACATCGCATATTGCAAGGCACTTCAGCGCATTTAAGCATACGTGTAAGAAGGCAACCAGCATGGCACATCACATGCCAGTTGGGACCGAAATGTCGCTTAACTATGTATGTTTGCTCGCCAAAAAGAAGGCAATCCCCATGGCGCATCGCATGCTCAACAACATCGAAACAATTCTTGTGAAAACAAGTTCATGCGCTAGTACGAAGGCAAGCCCCATGGCACACGCATACCCAAAGGCAACCAGATGCATCTTGAAAACATCTTTCCGAAGCACACAAATGAAGGCAACCCCCATGGCACATTGCATCATCAACCGCGATCTCCTAAAACTGCTTTGTTTGAGTACAACTACGGACGCAATCCCCGTGGCACATCGCATGTTACAAGGCACTTAGACGCATTTTGAGCATACATGTTTAAGTACGAGTAAGAAGGCAATCCCCATGGCACATCGCATACCAGTTGGGACCGAAATGTGCTTGACTATGTGTGTTTGCACGCCAAAAGAAGGCAATCCCCATGGCACATCGCATGCTCAACAACATCGAAACAAGTCTTGCAAAAACAAGTTCGTGTGCTAGTACGAAGGCAAACCCCATGGCACATGCATACCCAAAGGCAACCAAACACATCTCAAAAACATCTTTTCGAAGCACAAAAATGAAGGCAACCCCCATGGCACATTGCATAATCAACCGCAACGTGTCTCCTAAAACTGCTTTGTTTGAGTGCCGCTACAGACGCAATCCCCATGGCACATCGCATATTACAAGGCGCTTAAATGCATTTTAAGCACACATGTCTAAGCATGAGTAAGAAGGCAACCAGCATGGCGCATCGCATACCAGTTGGGACCGAAATGTTGCTTGACTATGTGTGCTTGCTCGCCAATAAGAAGGCAATCCCCATGGCACATCGCATGCTCAACAGCATCGAAACAAGTCTTGCAAAAACAAGTTCATGTGCTAGTACGAAGGCAATCCCCATGGCACAAGCATACCCAAAAGCAACAAAACACATCTCGAAAACATCTTTTCGAAGCACAAAAATGAAGGCAACCCCCATGGCACGTTGCATAATCAACCGCAACGTGTCTCCTGAAACTGCTTTGCTTGAGCGCCACTACGGACGCAATCCCCGTGGCACATTGCATATTACAAGGCGCTTAAACGCATTTGAAGCACACATGTCTAAGTATGAGTAAGAAGGCAACCAGCATGGCACATCACATACCAGTTGGGACCGAAATGTTCCTTGACTATGTATGCTTGCTCGCCGAAAAGAAGGCAATCCCCATGGCACATCGCATGCTCAACAACACTGAAACAATTCTTTCAAACACAAGTTCATGTGCTAGTGTGAAGGCAATCCCCATGGCACATGCATACCCAAAGGCAACCAAACATCTTGAACACATTTCTCGAAGCGCCAAATACAAGCAACCCCCATGGCACATCGCAGAACCAACCGCAACCGAGCACTGTTTAAACATATATATATATATGTAGTAGTAGTAGTAGTAGTAGTAGTAGTAGTAGTAGTAGTAGTAGTAGTAGTAGTAGTAGTAGTAGTAGCACAAGCAGCAGCAGCAGCAGGAGTAGTAGTAGTAGTAGTAATAGCAGTAGTAGTAGTAGCAGCAGCAGCAGCAGTAGTAGTAGTAGCAGTAGCAGTAGCAGTAGCAGTAGTAGTAGTAGTAGTAGTGTAGTAGTAGTAGTAGTAGTAGTAGTAGTAGTAGTAGTAGTAGTAGTAGCAGAAGCAGTAGTAGTAGTAGTAGTAGTAGTAGTCGTGGTGGTAGTAGTAGTAGTAGCAGTAGTAGGAGGTGCCTTGTGTTAAGTTTTTGGCAAGTTTACCCAGGAAAAAAACGAGTCCAAAAACGAGTCTAAAACGAGTCCGAAAAGAAAGAAAACGTGCAGCCGCAACCCACCTAGGCCTCAGCCTGAAAAGCAGCCCGTTGAAACCAATGGATGTGTTAAGCAGACTGTCGGCCTTAGCCTAATACGTATTACAAGCACTTGTTGAAGATACGTGTTTTTCAAGCGTGTGCCAATGCGATTGGCCTCCCAAAGCCCCAGCTTCAACAATGCAAGCTGTTCTAGGAATCTTGTTGCGGATGACTGCGTGTGCCAACGCGCTTGGCCTTCCAAAGCCCCAGCTTCAACAACGCGAGCTGTTCTAGGAATCTTGTTGAGGATGATTGCGTGTGCCAATGCAAATGGCCTCACAAAGCCCCAGCTTCAACAACGCAAGCTGTTCTA